GCTCCCTTCCCCTCCCAATCCCCTCCCCCTCTCCTTTCCCCCCCTCCACCTCGCCCTCTCCCTTCCCGTCACCCTCCTCTCCCCTGTCCCCCACTCCTCGATCCATCTCCCCTTCCCTCTCCCTCCCTGTTCCGCACAAAATCCAACCTTCTTTCTTCCCCCATTCCCTGCCCGTCCCAGGCGCCCCATCCCCCCACCACCGTCAGCTGAAATCCTGTGGCCTACCCCATATCTTTCAACTCATAACCCCCGCCTCGCCACACCTTGGCTCTGGAACCGCTCCCCCCACCCCACCCCGGTCATCAGGAACACTTGTCCCTGCCCCAAAGATTTCCCCACTCGGCCCAGCCCCTTTCCCAACCAGGCCGAAGCCTCAACTTCTGCTCTGGGCCACATTGTGTGGGGTTGGGTGGTGGGTGGGGAGTGCAGGTGGGGGAAGGGGGAGGCTGGTGGAGGTGTGATTGACTGAAAAGGGACCTCCTGTGGTTGGCCTGTGAGTGGAAAGGGTCGTGAAGGGGACGTGGGAGATGATCTTGGCCAGTCGTCTGCAGGCGAGGGCTAGGCTTGCCTCGGGGGGACTAGGCCGAAGGTCCCTGTCCAATGGCGAAAGTAGCTGTTGTCCCCCTGTGTGTGTGAGAGTGTGGGGTGGGGGTGCGGGTTTGGGTGAGTGTGGGAGTTGGTTTTTTTTGAGGGTATGGGGAGCATGGTGGTGGGGAGGGGGGGAGTTTGATGGAGGAGAAACGCCTTGTTGACCTTATTGACCATCTTTTCCGTCCCCCGGCCTCCCCAGAACACGCAGCACCGGCGCAGGAGTGTGGATGGGAGTTGCCTCCAGGGCTGCGGAGATGATCCCGCGGCCGCGCTGAGCACCCAGGAGAGACCAGAATTCCAGGAGCTCCGATCTGAGGGAGCGGAGAGTGGGACGACGCGAGAGACCGTCCTCGCCCCGCACCAGGAACACCAGGTCGAGGAGGAGCCCGGAGAGGAGAGTGAGCCTCAATCAGAGGATGAGGAGGCCACAGGTAGGGCCAGGATGTTTACCCCCCCCCCTCCCCCGAAAGTGCCTTCCATTGGGAACCCCTACAAAGAGGGGGGAAGACCACAAAGTCATAGTCACCCACTGTCACCAATCCCTCATTACAACGCCCTCCCCACCATAGTCTCCCGCACAAATCTGTCGGAGGGTCAGCGCTGAGGGGAGCGGGCACGTCAGAGGGTCAGCGCTGAGGGAGCCGGCGCTGTCGGAGGGTCAGCGCTGAGGGAGCGGGCGCTGTTGGAGGGTCAGCGCTGAGGGAGCGGGCACTGTCGGAGGGTCAGCGCTGAGGGAGCGCCGCACTGTCAGAGGGTCAGGGCTGAGGGAGTGGGCACTATTGGAGGGTCAGGGCTGAGGGAGCGGGCACTGTCGGAGGGTCAGCGCCGAGGGAGCGGGCACTGTCGGAGGGTCAGTGCCGAGGGAGCGGGCACTGTCAGAGGGTCAGCGCCGAGGGAGTGGGCACTGTCGGAGGGTCAGCGCCGAGGGAGTGGGCAGAATCGGAGGGTCAGCGCTAAGGGAGGACATGGGAGGATTTGCAAGGGGGGAGGGGAGCAATGGCGGTATCTTTCTGCCACCTCCCCCCACAGAAGGGGCCGAGTCTCACTCGAACCCTTATGACCCTTTCCTGCAGGAGCTGAGGAAACAGAGAACATTCTGGAAGGCCACCTCAGCAGGCAGCGTGCACCCGGGGGGACTGCGGTTCTCAATGAGGAGGAGATCGAAGAGGAAGACGAGGAGGATGATGATGACTTGTATTATTGAACTCTGACCTGCGCTCCCTCGCCTCCACCTGCCATCCACACACCCACTCCCCCACCGTCTGGGAGATGGGGGGGCCATATTTAACGGGACACCCCCCATCTTCAGTGTCAAGTGGACGGGGGAGGGGGTGTGTGTGTGCGAGAGAGAGAGAGAGGGAGAGACCCCGCAATATTCTCCAATAATCCCACTCCCTTTGTTTAACTCTCTCTCCTGTTGGTTTGGTGGGGAGGGGGGGGTAGCCTAGAAACTGTTCCCACACTGGATTATAATTTGGAAAACCTTCCATTTTTCCTGCCCCCCGCGCGTTATTTAAGAACTCGACTCGTTTAAACTCGGTTATTCGGAGACTGCAGTTTATCTAAAGACTCCCTGCAGCGCAGGGAGGGGACAACATATGTCAACATACTGAGTGCTGTTGGACTCAGGACCAAACAGTGGGGCCTGGGGTTGGGGGTGGGGCGGGGGGCGGGGGGGGGGGGGGGGGGGGTGGGGTGTGGGGTGGTGGGGCTTGGGCGCAGGGCTTCTGGAGGAGGGTGGGGCAAGGGACGTGATTGAATCTGCACCGAAACGCCCCGTTGAAACGCCCTTCGTTTAGCCCCTGCCAACCCGTTTACAATGCGGGTTTCCTATGTCAACAGTCACGCCCGACATTTCTGTCCCACTCCACTGCCGGTGCCGCCGGTGGCCGGAGGCCGGGACTGCGGCGTCAACTGGCCCAAGCGGGAGGGGAAGGCTTTGCGACTGTCGGATTTGTTCCTTTTATCTTCCAGGAGGAAAAAGATCACCTTAACGAGCACCAAAGATGAGGGGAGGGGGTCGTGAGGAGGGGAAACGAGGGGCTTCGGGTTTCTGAGGATGCGGGAGTGGGGTGGGGATCTCATTGGCGTTGGCAATGAGATGGGATTTGAGGCAGAGATGGCATGAGAGCACCTGGGCATCTTCCGCCCTCTCCAGGCCACCACAATCTTGCCATCGGTTGCCCGCAAAGGTGCCCAGGTGATAGGAGAGATAGAAGCTCTCTTGCCCTTGAGAAAACCACCCCCCCCTTCCAGCTGTGCCAATCCAGAACACAATGCCAACCTCAACACTGGGCACGATACCCAACAGCTGGAGGATACGGTTCATTCAAAAAGTGAAACAAACACACACACACACAGACACAGGGACTGAGCTCTCTCACACACACACACACACACACAGGGACTGAGCTCACACGCACACACACACACAGGGACTGAG